AATATATATATATATATATATATACATATATATATATACATATATTCATTAGAAAATTTTATACTTTAAAAAACATAAAACATATGTGTATCATTATTCATTACATAATACACGTACCTATTTTTGTTTATATAGTATGATTGATCGACTTGTCTAATGGTTAGACTGGCCCGAGATGAATTTTAATAATACCTAATCATGATAAATATGGAGATCACAAATTCACAATAATTATGTACGGAATAAGAACAAATGAATAAAAATCACAATATTTATGTACGGAATAAGAACAAGCTTTTTGAGGGAGATACTGCAGTCTCGTTACAGAACCATTCCGTCGGGGTTCATAACCGTTAGATCAACTATCATCGACAATTACATGATAATCTAACAGTTAAAAACCCCGACGAAATGATTCCGTAACAGGACCGTAGTATTTCTCTATATTTCAATAGCAAACACTACAAAATCCTCTCATTTTCTTTCAAACAAATGAAGACCCCTCTTTGCATGCCACAAAACAGGCCAAAACTGAGGTGGAAAATTACTTGACGCAGACCATTCATAACTAACAAAACTACCACACACACACAAACACACACACACACACACACAAGAACAAAAACTAAATATCTTTTATTTTTTTCCAAAAATCATCAGAAAAAAGTCAACCATTGTTCTCTCCACTTTAATCGTACACAAGAATTATGGCAACTCCAATAACGTGTCCTAATTTCAGATCACAACTAGTGTTTTTCCATCCATTCTTGTAAGAGAAAAAAATAGATTAAAATTTAAAAAATAAATATAAAAAAAAAAATTGCAATTTCTATATTTGGGTAGTTAATATAAAACCACTTATGTTAATACAGAACAAAGAATTTCCCTTTTGGTCTCTCAATAGCTTAAAAATAGGATTGAAATTTGCAGTTGAATCCTATAGATACAGAGCAGCATAAAATTATTGAGAGATTCTCAAGGGGGGGAGAGTATAATATAATAGCAAAATCAAGAAGAAGAAGAAAAATAAAATAACATAAAAAATGGCATCATTCACAGGAACTCTCGACAAGTGCAAGGCTTGCGACAAGACCGTTTATTTCGTCGACTTACTGTCTGCTGACGGGGCGACTTTCCACAAATCATGCTTCAAATGCAGCCACTGCAAAGGGACCCTTGTCGTGCGTTTTCTTATTTCCTAAATGTTTTTTGTGCATTACAGTAATCTATTTTTATCGGCATTTCTTGAATGGAATTCCAATTGTGAGTTGTCGATTTTGATTTTCGGGAAAATGGGACACGTTTTTTATGTTTTTTTAATTCTTTTTCCCGCAAAATGTTCTGTTTGGCACAGATGAGCAACTACTCTTCCATGGATGGAGTTCTCTACTGCAAGCCTCACTTTGAGCAGCTTTTCAAGGAGTCTGGAAATTTCAGCAAGAATTTCCAAAATGGTGATCACCTTTGTT